ATCTGGTGAAACATGGCTTTGATATCTCCACTCACGGCTACAGGGTGTTGGCGGAAGCGGAGTAATACCCCCAGCAGAGTGGGCCCCAAGGGAGGTCCTGGTAAGAGGTAGTGGTTCAGGACGGCCCCCTGAAACTCAAACGAACAGTTGAAGACCACCCTAGCCTTATCATTGTGATATACCATGTGGTGGGGTACATACCATGACTCGGAAGAGCTATGTGTCTCATCTGGGCTCAGCTTAACAACATAACCAGAATCTACTAACCTGTGGATCTCCTGGCTGTATGTGAGGGTCAGATCAGGATTCTTGGCCAGCTTACGTTCGGTGGATCTGAGGCGGCCTTTTACTGCTTCAGGAGAGACACACATCCGTGGAAAGTCCCTTCTTCTCAGCAGCGGAGTGGCGTATCTCTCGATACCGTCTACTGGGACTCTGATGGTCTTTGTCTCCAACATAGCTACCGCCTCTCTGTCCTCCTTTGACCGTGTGACCTCCTTCTCTGTCCTGTAGGGGGGAGCATCTAGTTGCCACAAACGCTTCACATCTTGATGCACGGCCTCTGCAGGAGAAAGGCACATGTTCAGGCACTGCAGGTCCCCCTCAGATGTAGGCATACTACTGGCCGGCCCCTGGATGGCCCATCCGAGCTTGGTGCAGATAGCTACTGGCCCTTTGGACGACCCCCGAAGGACGGGGCGGACAGGGGTGATGAGATGAGCGTTATCTGAGCCAATCAGCACCAAAGGTTGGATCTGGTTAAATCCCTCAATCTGGACTTTCTGTAAGTGAAGATACTTCTTCTTTAGCTGTTCAACTGGACATGACTGAGTAGCTAGGCTCAGTTGTTGGGCTGTGAAAGCATGTGTTACTTTGTACCTCACTTTGGGCTTAGCCCTTGGTGACACCTGAAATGAGACAAAGCCTCCCTTCATCTGGATTACATCTCGACGGATAGTTCTCAGTGAGAGTGTTGCTTCCTCCTGTTCCAAACCTAGAGATTTAACTGCCGCTGGAAGCACAACAGTCTTCTCTGAGCCGTCATCGAGCACAGCAAATGTATTCAGTGATTTGCCCCCATAATGTAGTTGGATTGGTACTACCTTAAGCATAACACGACCTGAGTGACTTGAATAGTCTAGGTAGACCATACTAGTACTCACAGTTAGTATGTTAGGGTCCTGCTTCTTGGCCTCAACCAGGTCATGGAGCACCAACAAATGCTGGTCACCACAGGTGCTGCACGGCTTCTTCAGAGTGCACTGCTCTGGAGAATGTTTACGGCCACAGCGCCAGCATTTGGCCTTCTCGGTAATCCAGGTAGCCATAGCTTTGAGGTCTAGCCTTTTGAATCCATCACAGCCATTCAGATAATGCTCTGTCCCTTCGCAGCATGGACAATAAGGTTTGAACTTCTGTTTCTTCTTAGGTTGGATTGTCGGATCTGGAGCTGTAGATTCTCCCTCCTGGTTTAGCTTGGCTTGGGCTAGATTTGGGCCGTAGTAGATGGAGGCAGATCTGTTGTGTGGCTTGAGCCCTGCTGAGGCTTTGAGTAGGTTCTTCTCTGGACGTGGCTTGTCCGGGGGCATTTGAGAGGCTTGTCTGGATAGCTGAAGGACTTGGGATTTCCGTTCGAGCCATTCTGAGAAGTCGTACATATTGTATATTCGGCTGCTGCCACTGCGGATGATCCCCCGGGTGATACAGTACTCGATGAAGTTGTCCCTGTAGTTCAGAGGGAGCTTGGTAAGCAGTCTATCCACATGTGAACCACAATGAAGCTCACTGGCTGCTACTTCATCCATGGTACTGAGAAGCCCGACCAGGCTGGACACCGACAGGGAGAGGTCCTCAATAGCTTGAGAGTCTCCGGCTCGAAGGACCACTTGTAATGTATGTTTGCACTGATTGCCGATCACGCTTCAACTGAGTCGTCCTCGGTCAGAAGGAATGGTACTCCACAGTGATGTAGTTCAAATAACTTTACTAAAGAGGTGGCAGATGACATCAACAGGATGTACAGCGTTGGTAGGGAGGCATTACAGTATTCACATGCAGGTAACGGGGGTGTGAGTGTGTATATGGGTATGTGTGTGTGGTCATCTGTAAACAGAAAGAACAAACATTTGTATTAACCACTATGGATAGCAGTGTACCCCTTATACAGTACTGTGGGTTTCCAGCGTAATGTTATACAATCTGCCATAACCTCATGGCCACTAGATGGCACCCTAAGACCATAAATGAATTTCTGGCTTGTATATACATTGGCAAACCAGACCTCTGCAGATTGCAACGATTCAGAGAATAAACATAGTAAATAGTTACATCCACCTACAACCACAATGCTTGACAGTAAGTCGTATATGGAATGAAATATGGGCTGAACACAAGGCTGCCTGTAGTAGGCCAAACAAAACGCATCTTAGCGATAGCAATGGGACTAGCCTCTTAGCGATAGCAACGGGACTAGCCTCTTAGCGATAGCAAATTACACAGATAAAGTCAACAAGCCTCACTCTCATCTTACAATACTCACATGGTAAGCACGCACGCAGTATTAACTCACACCGAATGCACGTTAATACGTTACTCCTCCGACACACCTCTCATCTGTGCAGCGCTGCGCTGAACACGTTCCCAACCGGAAGTACAGATACCGAGGTGCATCATGGGTAACGTAGTATAAAACAGCTACAGTGAACAAGCGGACTTTTAACAAATATGCTTTAAGCACTTTGGTCAGTAAAATTGTTTGGTGCCAACAGGAAAAAAACAAAAAAACAAATCAAGGAATAAAGTTGCATTTCAGGGGGAAGTAAACTGTTCCACAGTGTTGGTGCTGGGGTTTGGAAAGATCCCTCTTTGTTTTCAAACGACCCGTGGAATAGTCAGGAGACCACTATCAGTGGATCTAAGGAAGAAGCTCAATGAGTGTGGGGGCCTCTCCTCATAAGGACATAAAAGTAAGAGTCAGGATCTTAAACTGATATCTGTACCCAACTGGAAGCCAGTGCAAGAACTAACATGGAAGTGATGTCAGTGAAGTTATGACTGTGGTTTAACAGCTGTGCTGCAACATTTTGGAGCGCTTATAATAATCAAATTGGGAGAAGATGAAGTGATGAAAAAGTATCTCCAGTTCACCGTTGGCGACAATAGTCCTGAGTTTGGCAATATTTCTCAAGTGGAAAAAGCAGGAGTGGGTCACAGATGCTTTCTCTGGTATCAGATGCATTGATCAGTGTTTATTTACAGCTGCCAGAGGAGTGTAGGGCGTGGCACCAACATGAACGCACCTCTCCTGATCCTGCTTTACAGGCCAAAACCAGTCTCTGCTTTTCCAGGGCAACCCAGACTGTCAGTGGCAAATCATGTAAACCATTTACGCTGATTTACTGACACTGGAATAACTTTACTGTTATGGCACAACATTCATTTGACAAATGGACTGTACTGTAAATGTCCAAGTCAGCAAAGCATAAGGTTTAGTTTAAGCTTTTCTTTAATGATCAACAATTTGTTTCCCCCTCCCACACTTTCAAATTATTTACCCATCCATATGGAGGATACATGTCTGCACTTTGAAGCTTTCCTCCTGGCAGCAGTGTAAACTGAGCGATTCTCTACAAGAAACATGTTGATGTCACCAAACTGCAGCTCTGGGATTCTGCCAGGGAAGAATGTAGATAAGTTCCCAAAATTCAAATTTTCTCTTCATATCTTAATTGTTCCTCCATGGATAGATGATCTGAGAAGTCTTGGCTCAAGATGGGGGTGAAAAATAAAAACTCACTTTCATCAAAGAAAATCTCTCATCTTTGAATCAAAAACACTTCTAAACTAAAACCCAAAACAAATCAGATGTGTTATTTGAACAAGAGCAGCTTAAAAACAGAAGAAAACCCTGTAACCATGTCACTTACTCAACATCACAGTGTAACACAATGACTCTTGGAACCTACTATTTTTAGCCCCTGCTCCTCACTGCACTCTTAGCATGTGCCACTCCCACAACATTTGTATAAACGTCCACAGTATCCCAATGCTGGGCTGAGGTCTGAGGGACCCTCCATTCCAGGTCTTGGAAGGTTAAGCTCAGTTTCACACAATAACTGGGTCCATATTGAATAAATAAAATCTGACAATAAATACAGTAAATCAATCTCTGAAAGTTAGAATTTGTTATTTATTATGCACAAACAAAGTTCAAAGCATTACAGCAGTTGTGGAAAAAGTACACACATACTAAGAGTGAAAGGAAGGAAAACTCCCAGCAGCTGCCTCCTCCTCTTTTGTCCTGTAAACTGAAGATGGAGGGCTTTCTTTTTATTTTGCAATTTGTTGAATGATTTTATTTTTCATGCTGTGGTTAAAATGTATCAAACTGCAGATGCTGTGTATCAAGTAAAGCACAAGCAGAAAATGTGTCCAAAGTTCCAGATGTTCATGATCCAAACAGTCTGTTAAAGTGAGTAATGAAACGTTTAAACTGATGTGAACACTAAATGAAGATTTAACTGGAGTTTGCTGCACATGTGTGAGCAGCACATTTGGATCTTTGCTGTGATGAATTTAAGTTGGAGAAAAGCTTCAGGAAATCAGGAATTCCTGAGATTTTATGCACCTGAAAGATTTTAGAGAACTTTACTTTGAGATGAGCCTGTCCTTAAACACAAATACCTGTATATTACTGTAACTGTGATATATGTTGACAATGTCGTGGTGCTTTGTTTCAGACCATCTCTTTCTTTGCTTTTTCTTCAGAGGGAGGATCAGTCTTATGTTTTTTAGAGATCACAACAGCAGCTGCAACAGCGAACATGAGTAACAAAACAGAAGCCACCAGTCCATCATATCTTCTGACTCCATCTCCATCATCTCTGGCTCCTCGTGGTCGAGCTGCAGGAGAGAAACAGGTGTGAGGTGTCAGCTGATCACATCACTCAGACCAGCTGCTTTCTACAAAGTCTCATCAACAACATCTTTAGAAACAAACATCAACAACCAGGAAGCAGCTTCACCTCTGATCACACACACACACTCAACTCTACTCACTCACCTGGAGGATCAACACTCAGGGTGATGATGCTGATGGATTTCCAAGAGCGTGTTTCTCCCATGAAGACACGACACTCGTATGTTCCATTGTCATTAATCGTCACATCCTTCAGAATCAGAGACACGTCTCCATCCTTAATCTGTCTGTCCTGCAGATCCACCCGGTTCTTAAAAGATGGATGCTGATCATCTGGCACAAAGACTTCATCTCGGTACAAAAGGACATATTCGCCATACAGATCAGCTCGGCTCCATTTTACACATATATTGATGTTTAGAGCTCGACATGTCAGAGTGACATCCTGTCCAGACTCAGCTGTGATGTTTTTCTGGGCTGAAAGAGGAAACAACAGAGAGAGTAAAGTTTAAACCGTTCACTTGTATAGCAGCCAATCAGTGAAGAGCAGAGACCACTGTCCTCTGATGATGGTGGGTGGACCTCAAACCTGACTGACTGCTAGAAGTCAAAAAGGGGAAACAACACATAGCATAGAGTTGAAAGGGGTCCAGCACTTCAAGCTCAATGGTCACCAGACAGTTTGCTGACACACACCAGGGGCGTCTCTACAGGGGTAGCCTTGTGCCACGCTAAAAATAATCTCTTGCCACCCCAGTTTTGCATATGACAGTGCTGTGTATTAAAATAATCCATCGATAACACTTTGAGACCAGCTACAACAAAAATTGCTTAAACATTGTAAAACTGAATAGACGGGATTGTTTTGGGAGTGATGGCAGCAAAAGAGAAATTGATAGCGAGTTTTGAGATGTGACAGATTTGTGAAGTTTAGCATGTTTGGAGTGTTAGTGTGTAGCTGGTATGTAGTATAGTCTTTTGTTTTGTGTGTCAGTGAATGTAAAAGTCGCTGTTAAAAGCCACCAAAGATTGCAATGTAAACACTGCACAAGTTTAATATAAATTTACCATTTATATTTGCTTTTCAAGTTATGAATATAGTTCACTAAACATGTCTGTGGGTTTTTTTTACAGTAAAAAAAAATATACTACTAAGATTTTATGTGTGATTTGAGATCAGTTGTGTTAATACAGAATGTCAGTGAAAAAATAACTGTAAATTCAGACACCTGAGTTTGAGCTGAAGAGGATATCGAAAAAGGTTTTAAAAATTAAAGGTGAAATCTAAAGTAATCAATTATATTTTGGAGCCCAGAGGGTTAAACCCAACAAATCATGAAAAATTAGGTTTAAAATTTTGGTGACAAGTTTGTCCATGACAGCACAGATTTTTTTAAATTTTGTGTAAATGAAACTTAAGTTAGACTTGTGTTTGTTAATGAACCACCTTATCGTGTGTAGCTTTCTGGATTTTATGCTTAAAAAAATATAATATATAGACGATGTGGGCTGAAGATATAAAGTTAGACTATATTTATATGAATATATTTTAAAAAAGCATTGATTTTGCCGCCCCATTTGATTTCCATATCACCCTAAGAAAATTTCTTAAGACACGCACACACACAGACACACACACCAGTGTATCACTCAAAGTAATGTATCTCCACTTTCTGTAAAACTGCATTTCATTTTAGTTTGTGTCATTTGTGAAATTTTGTTTTCAGCTACACAGATGCAGGTTAATAAACATATTTCAGACCCTGTAATCAATAACTTTGAGGGTTTTTATCAGAAGATAAGACACCTGGAGAAGAGAACAGGCGCAACACCGGCAGCTAGAGTAAATGTAGGTTTCCCATTATCAGAACTGTGGTAAGGATGAATTAGGAATAATAAATCTTTACAGCTTGTGCGCTACAACAACACTATTTTTGATGCAGGTGTGTCAAACATGTTGAACTCACACCGCTTCAAAGTGAAGCAACAGGACACTGCGATGCCTGCTGGAAGCAGCAGAACTGATGAGTGTTTATCTGACACCGCTTTAAAGTGAATGACAGCACTAACTGCTGCCTCTGCAGGTCAGGATGAGTAATGCAGTTATAAACAGTTTGGGTTTTTTTTTTTAACTGCAGACTCTTCTCTTCCCAACTTAATTATACAAACTGTAAACGTGTGTGAGTACATCTAAAAACTAACATCCACTTTCTCACATGACAGAAGAGTTTTGTTGACAGGAGACCTGCGTCCTCTCTGTGAGTGGCCCAACCTAAAGCAGCTCTAACATCTAACAGCATCACTGAGAGGAAGAAATGAATCGATAGGATTTTTAAATAAAACTCACCTGCACAGGTAAACCCTACGAGGGAGACAGACAGTAACGTCCAGCAGAGCGACTGAAATGTTACAGCAAACATGTTTCATGAAGCACACTGTAAGCGGACGAGTTTATGTAGGAGATTGGAAGGGGGAGGAGGTAGAGTTTCTTTTACAGAGAACAGGTAAGAGGTTGGAGTCATCATATTTACGGTGTTAAATCCATCACGATTTCTTTTAGAGAGTCTACAACACTTTGGATGAAGTCTTTAAGCCGCCGAGCTCGCCGTGGATCGTCAGCCGGACCAGCAGCTTCTTAAACGGCGAAGAGAGCTGAGGCAGAAGCGGACATGCCGATCTTCTGTGCGGCCAGGCGAAACCTCCAGCTCCCGGTGTTTTCCTGACAAACACCACATCCATCACGATGACATCATAGGATGGGATCGCTGATCGGACAATTCATGAAATGCAGTGTGAACATTTAAAGAGAAAACTGGTTAGGACGCAAAACACAGTGACTCTGGTAAGACGACACGGAGGGGTGTGTGTGATTACAGCAGACACCAGGAGTACGAATCTCAGCATGATCGAGGTTCAGACATTTTGACAGTCCAGGGCTTGTGGAGGACTGAGGACGTTAAGTATTTTGTTTGGGATGACATAGGGAACTTCCCAAAGCAGCAGCAACTCTCAGGTTTGCAGAGTGCAGGACTTTAGATGCTTCGTTAGACCTGTTGGAGAAGAAGTACATGACAAACTAGGGAGATGCTTTAAAAAAGATTTAAAGAAAAAAAGTTTAAAGAAGACAGGGGAAATGTAGACTGGTGCATCAGTTTTGCACTTATAAGGTTAAATCTGTGTCCACAAGGGGGTGGCTGGACTACATCAAAGCAATCCCTCGCTGGGGTTGTCCTCTCCCCCTAACCCTGTGATCTTTTAAGATTTCTGTCTTATATCATAAAAATATCTAAATCTTAAAAATATTATTCTTTATTTAATTTTCTGGGTAACGTGGTCTGCCTTAAAAGGAGGACACAGTATGCAGTAGTAATAATATGGCCTATAAATGGTTTGAGCGCAGTTCTTGGTGTGCACTTGGAGCAGCCAAAGGAAAGACTTTCCTCAGCTGACGTCAGGCATACCTCACTAAACAGTGCGGCCCACTAGTGGCGAACAGGGAGCTGCTTCGGAGGATATGTGGAGTAATCGTGGAAGAGGACTCCAGTCCTGTGTCTACCGCACAGTCAGGCGTCTGGTTTGTGCGTAACAGTTGGCCGCCTTTAAAGGCACCACAGTCTGAAGCAGGACTTTCTATCTACCCCGCGAACTAAGTAACTAACTAACCATCATCACTGTCTCATCCTGTCAGATTTTTAAACGTTTTGTTTTACGTATTTACACTAACAGTAAACACAGTTTAATTAAGCAGGGTAATACAGTGACACGATTACTGATGAATACACACGGCTGCTGACTTTATAAAAACTTATTCTAACAGTTCAATCTTACCTGCGGACGTAAATGAGCGAAGAAAGGCAAAGATGATCCCGCAGATCAAGACAGATTGTCCTGCATCCATAGTGCTGCTCTGTGACACCAGATTATTGAGTCTGTCAAAGATTTTGCTGTGCTACTTTTACTTGAAGGTGTGGTTTTTCCGCTCCTTTGACCCTCCCACCTGCTGCTGCTGCCTACATTTTACACCCGCCTGACTTGGTTGTTCCTCCGTTTTGAAATATTTTTCAGCTGTAACTTGACCAAAACCCCCCCATATCTGACAATTATTCAGTGTTGAAATCTTTACTAACAGTAGATAATCTCATATGGAGAATAAAATCAGATTATCTTTAAGCAATTTTTATTTAAATCTATTTTAGGTTATTGGTCACAGTGGATGTTTTATACACTACACATGTTTTCTGGTCTTCTGTTTTTTCTGTAGCATCTTTTAAGCAACAGCGTTTAATTCAAAAGTCTTTTTAAGAATATAAAATGGCACTACAGTGTGATATATGTTTAAAATCATTTTTTTATACCAACCCTATTTTTTACCCATAGTAAACCATGCACTCTGAGGACGGAGGATTTACTTGGTGTCAGAGACAGAAATGAGAAAAAGCTGAAATGAGTGAGAAGGACGATGAAGGAAACATCTGTGCTGTGTCTGCTCTGTAAGTAGAATCTCCTGCACTACAGAGAAAGTTTATTATACCCAGGGTATATTTCTGTTATTCAGATTAGTTGACGCTAACATTGGTAATCAGGATATTCTGTCATATGAAGCTCGTTATCAACTCACTCAGTTAACCCGGAGTTTCCCTCCCTGCAATAAAGAAATGTAACTTTTTTTGAAAAGTCTCAATAGGATCTTGAGCTTTATTGTGAAAGGTTCATATGTAAAACAAAGAAGCAGACGGCACTGCTACAACAACAACGTTAAAACATTCTAACAAACAAACATATTCTAATAATAAACTAAACAAAGGAATTCACTTTCACTCGTTCATCAGTAAAGTCAGAGGGTGAGCTGGAGCTCGTGTCCCGTCACAGCCGTCGCTCACACCAGATGTGAGAGTAGTGCGTTTGTTCTGTGCAGCATAACAAACTGGCTAATTAAAGTCTATATTTACACTTTTTATTGGAATACTTTATTTAATTCTATATGAGTAACAATAACAAAGTGAGCTGCACTGAAAACAGGAGAGCGTGTCAGTGTTCACAGTAATATTCACAGGAAATCTTAACACTTGTTAGACTTTTTAAGCCATGAGGAGGTTTTGCTAAACTCAGAATCTCCTCTAAGCTGCACTCTGACAACAGTCCAGCTCCATCAATGATCCCATTGTAGTTCTTATTTCTTACATGATGTTTATAGTGAGTGGGCTTCTTTGCAGGCTGCTCAGTGTCTTTGTCCCTTTGATGGGGTGTTGTTGTCACCCTGCTGGGTCCATAGGAGCCTCTACCAGGAGGCTGAGGGGCAGCGTTGGAGGTCATCAGTGTTTTTAGCCTGAAGTTAGCAGAGAGGCTAAACTTGACTCTGTTGCATTATAGAGACAGAAGTTTAAATAGTGTTTAACAGGACAATCGAGGCTAAAATGGTTTAAAAGATGAACTCATTAAAAAAACACTAACAAATCTTCATGTTTCAAATACTGAGAAGCTTCAACAACAAATATGTGTTCAAGCCAGCATGATGTTTGCTCCTGTAACTGATTGTTTTTCCATCTTGTTCTCTGAATATTTACCAAAGGCTCCATAACTAATGTCATTCATTTTGTTTCTTATCATTGAAACTGTTGTAGAAAATCCACTTTGTTAAGAAAACAGAGAAGCGACGTCTTTATATGAGACTTCAGAAAAATGTTGTACAAGACAAACTGAACAACATCAGAGCGACATCACGACTTCCTGTAACTTTTCTCTGTCCAGCTAAACACGAGTACCTTCCATTTTCTCCTGCAGAGGATTCTGGGTAAAGTCAATCGTGCACTGACGTCCTGTGTGTGTGTTTTATTGTGCAGATGCAGCTGCAGTCGGCTCAGCAGTGAGAACTGAAGACGTCAGTCAAAGAGAAGGAAAAACAGTCAGAGCTGAGAGGTACAGCTGCTCTTCTTTTAGTACAAACACGACAATGGATGATGGAAGCATTGACTTGTGGTGAACACAAACACACTTCAGTCCTCTTCAGAGCAGATAACAAAGTTCATGTGAGTCACAGACTTAAAGCAGACAACAGTTTTCAGAAAGTTCATCAGTAAAATAAGCAAATAACTTCATACTGGTAGAGCGGAGAGTCATAACTAAAGTGCTCACAGCATGTTTTCATACAGTAAGAGTAAAATGAAAGCATGATGCAGATTTATAAAGTGACTCAGAACAAAGAACCACATGAAGAAAAATGTATTTAATTTAAAGTTTAGAGGAGAATGAATGAATTATGAATGTGATGTTGCCTGTAAGTGTTCACAGCTGTATGTGTCACTGGGAGATGAACATGATTTAATATCTGGATATGAACATTTAATTTTAAGGTGCAGATGCAATAAAGTAATTATATCAACAGATGGATTTGAGAGATGAATTAATACAATACAAATTCATATTTTGAATAGAAATTTTTATTTTAATACAAACATTTTTCCATGTAAAAGAAGATAACAGCACCAATAAACTGTCTTAGTGTACAATGTGTTGGCTTGTCTTGCAATCATACAGACGAAATATCTGTTTATGTTAAAGTTCCCCCTGGTGGAAGGTTGTGGTCATTTGACTGAAGTTTGATTCTTAATAAGAAGAATAAAAAGCTGATTTAACAGAAAAAATCCACAAACATCTTGATGCATCCTCAATCATCCACCAGTGGTGCTAGTTTCAGTCATTATGCAAATGTTTCAAGGTACTGTTTATACGGTTGGGGAAACCTGCAGTCAGCTGAGACTGAAGAAGTCACTTGGATGAGTGACGAAACGTTTCTCCCACTGAAAACTACGTCCAGATGAACAGAATCAACTTTTGGGTCTCTATTCATGAAGTACCAGGAAACAACAACCACCACCTGAAGGCACTTTTACAGTAAAAAAAAATGAATCAAGTCCCTGAAAACTGCATGAACTGAGCAAATAGATCAGAACCATTTTGATAAAAACAGAAACAAAACTAAAAAAGATTCCTATTCATAGGAATAAATACATTGAATACAGTGTGCAATAACAGAGTTAAGAAGTGTGGGCAGTGCTTAAAAGTGTATTTAATAAACAGAAGCTTCTGTGATGTAAAGATGAGTGTTTTATCTGTTTAAAGTGAAGCAGCAGGTGGTGTGATATTAAAAGTAAAGTTAAACAGACGTTGTCTGTGAAGGCTCTCAGTCATCTAGGCCATCGTAGTCTAAGGAGCTTGGAAAGAAAAATCTGTCTGGACTTCTTTAAGTTGCTTGAAGAGGTTTCAGAGTCCCAGATTTAAGCCCTGTGGGAGTGTCCCCTCAAGAGGGACATGGACCCCCTAATAATCCTCTACCTAATCACAAGAGATGTTAGCTCAGCAGGAGGTCGAGAACAGGAAGTGGCAGCTACAGCTCACAGGATAAAGAGACGTTTAGTCTAACATACAACTAAATATCGTATATATACATACAAACAGAACTTGGTTGCTATTAGTAACCTGATTTACATTTGTTTTATAATAAGTTCAGACTTTTATAATACTAAACTTACTGAACCTTTTTTCTACTACTTAAAGAACAACAACTCTGTAATGGATGTCTAAACATGAAACACTCGATTTCTTTGTTGAAGTTTTGCACTAAAGAAAAAGTAAATGAAAAAAATTCATAAAAATCTTTTTTGGCACTTTTTGATGATAAGTGTGACACTTGAGTCTGATTCCCTCACATGAACTATTTTTCTATTACCCATAAAAACCAACTCTATAATAAACGTTTAAACATAAAACCTGAAAAGGTTTCCTGGAATAAAATTAAAAGAACATTTAAAATCCATAAAACTCTTTTTTGCCACTTCTTGATGGCATGTGTGACATTTCAGTTTGCTCCTGTTTCACTTACATGATTGAAAAACCACAACTGGCTTTACCCTGAATGCTCAGTGTCACCTGTGTAACAGCAGGAGTCTCAGATCAGCTGGAAAAAACTGAGACATTTCCAACAGGCTGACATTCAACTGGAGGCTCGTATGAACCCTGGTTACGTTGTTTAAGTTTTCTGTAGATCAAAAAACAAACACCAACAACAGCAGCAGCAACAACAACAGCAACTGGAAGACCAACTTTCAGTCCAACAGATCCACCCTCCTTCCCTCCATCCTCCTTCCCTCCTGCCTCCTTCCCTCCATCCTCCTTCCCTCCATCCTCTGTGTGTCCTCCTGGCTGACCTGCAGGTGAGAAACAGGTGTGAGGTGTCAGCTGTCAGGTAGGTGATGAGTGAAGAACAGAACAGAATCCATTTCCTCTTCAAACTGCTGTCAGACATTATCTACTGCACTCTGATCACATCACTCAGACCAGCTGCTTTCTACAAAGTCTCATCAACAACATCTTTACAAACAAACATCAACAACCAGGAAGCAGCTTCACCTCTGATCACACACACACTCAACTCTGCTCACTCACCTGGAGGATCAACAACACTCAGTGTGATGCTGCTGATGAGGGGATATGAGGCTGTTCCTGCCTCAATGATGCGACACTCATATGTTCCATTATCAGCAGCCGTCACATTGTACAGAATCACAGACACATTTCCATCCTTCATATCTTTGTCCTGCAGTGCCACACGGTTCTTAAAGGATGGGTCCTGAACATCTTCTTTGGGCTTCTTGTTTTTCAACACAAAGACAAATGTATCTCTCAGGTCTGTTCTGCTCCACTCTACAATGTCACCGTTGTTGTTTGGAGCTCTACATGTCAGAGTGACGTTCTGTCCAGACTCAGCTGTGATGGTTTCCTGGTCTGAAGAGGAAACAACAGAGAGCAGAGAGGTTTAAGTTCAAAGTACAACTGTTCAGTTTTCTATTGCCTATTTGCGAGGTGCACCTGCTGCTTGCTGCATAGGGAGGAGAGGGGCGGAGCAGCGGTGTATTCTCTGACTGGCTGGAGCAGCATCTAATCCGGTTGTTCAGTGATGACGCGACGAATCCTACTTCCGGGTCTAAAGTAGTCTGCGTTTAATATGGCTTTTGTGTTGTTAACATGTTTAATGTTATGTATTTTCTTCTATTTAATCTCAAAAAGCTCCTAAAACAGTCAGTGATCACTGTTGACCTCCCTCGGCTTTTATTACCACTAATCATTTATTTAAGCTCAGTTTTTAAAACCTTAGGATGTAACTACAGCCCAGCCCATGCAGCAGTATATGAATGACTAACCTCGTATTATGGATGGATTATCTCAGTTGTTCTCCTGGCTGAAGTTTGGTCCTTTTACAGCATCCTGCCATGCGATTACATTTGCTCCTGACCACCGAGAACACTCACGTTAACTTTTATCGAGTGGAAAAAAAGTTAGCTTGTTTATATTATGCTAACATAGCTGTGTCGCTAGCGGTCACGTAGCACATCATTATATACCAGCTAGCCCAACTTCAGTAACCCTACAAACGTCACTGCTGTTTAGTTTTCTGTCTTCATTTATGCTGGAAGTGATAAGAAAGCTGTAAGTTTGAATTTGTTTCCAAAACCCCGCAGTCAGGACATGCTATATTGTATTTAGATAGAAGCTAGCGAGCTAACTCCCTGCTAACTTCTAACTCCGTTAAATGTCATAAATTCCGTTTTCATGGATGCCTGGATGTTAAACTCAATTGTTACACCTGGTAGAGCAGAACGCTGATCATTTTATTAAAGATTAAAGACTTTAGACAGTTTTTCAACTCTCAGTAATGCCACAGTGATCGTTTGATATATGGACCTGCAGCTGAGTTTAGACCCAGACACGGCTAGTGACGTCAGACTGAACAACCGGATAAGTCTGAAGGTTCACAGTCATCCAGGTCATCGTAGACTAAGGAGCTTGGAAAGAAAAGCGTCCAGACGCTTTTCTTTCCAAGCTCCTTAGCATCTAATAACCAGCTTGCAAAATAAAGCAAAATAAAAACAAACCAAGAAACATAAAAACGCCAGACTAGCAATTTGAGCCCATGTGTTTTCTAAACTCTAACACACACATATATGAAAAAGTGAGTATGAGGTCCCTTGGTGCACCTATTTCTCCAGCTGCTGGGCTGAAGTTCGCCCAGGGCACCCTCTGCCTCTGCAAACCACAGCGACAGCACTGTAGCGGGGACATTCGCGTGTTTGTAAATGTGTAAATAAAGTGTAAGGTGCACACATATCAAAAGTCAAGTGTTGCTCAAAGCATTGAAAACATAGAAGAGTCATCAGGTACAAGTCAGGCAGAAGTTGTTTTTTGTTTTTTTTCCCTCTGTACACGTCACTGTTTCTCCACCCACATAGTCTGTACTTACCCTCGCAGGCGCCTGCGGACAGACTGTGTGGCGGTTCCGCCGATACAATGCAGGCTCAGACAGACAGACTACGGTGGATTTACCGTGTATTTGCTGTAAGTGTCACATTTATTCTTTTTTATACACACATATGAAATACATGTATTGCAAAGTTATTAGAAGCTCGGCGTTAGCATTAGATCGTTTGTCGCAGTGGCGATCACGGAGCGGTCTGTGCTGAAAACAGGATTTAAAGAATAAATAAATAAAGCGCCGAGCAGCTGAACCCGAGACAGACACCCTGTTCACTGGATTCATCTATTATTTAGTCCGTTTACCTTCATGGTTTATTATTTTTATTATTTTTATCTCTTTAGTTTTAAACAGTTGTACAGCACTTTGTTTGAAAGCGCTTTATAAATAAAGTTATTATTATTATGGTCAAAACGGTCGACCCAAACTAAAGCTTTTAACAGGATCTTAACCAGGTCCGGGAGATGGTGAAACAGTATCTGGAGATTCATCATCGTCTCTCTTCATTAGAAATATCTTTCAGTAAGGCGGAGGCGGAAAACCCCGTCTGTGCTTACGCGGTTTAAAAATATTTACTGACCCCCGATGAGTCACAGAGGAGGTGCTGTACTATTAAAAGATAATACCCCTTTCTATAACTATATATCTAACAGATTATATATTTATTACATATACACATACATGCACACAGTAAAAGCAGCCTGTGTTTAAGGCCTGGTTTTGAATTTGAAAATGCGCTGAGGGAACTAAGATGGCGGCTTTTACTCGGCCGTTGGTGCTCGTTTACAATCTACAACCTTTGTCCTGATCCTGAGTAACATTTGAAGGATTTGTACATTATAATCCTTAAAGTATTTGAAATAAGTTGTGACCTAGCGCTAAGAGTAAGTGTCCCCTCTTTAGTGCTGTAGCTACACAGAGGTAATCTGTTTGGATGAAAGTCATCTATTAGCATATATCAGTCTTTTACTGACCGTATTTTCCGTGTTTCTGAACAGGCCACTAAAGTGTTAAAGCTTATTTACTACACAAACAGTTTTTTTTATAGTTGTAATTTTGATCACGTGGCTGACAAACATGTTAAAACTCTTTTTTTAGTCTTCCTCTGCTAGCCTGTTGTGTATCACTTTAGTTATAATGGCTGTTTTAAGCATAAAACCTCCTCATGTTACTGAGTTACACATGCTAATCCTCCCCCACAGTGCAGCAGTGTTGCCAACTCCTCAGTAAGTCGTTAAATGACGTCATCACCTAATTTGCATAATTGGTCATGGTAATGTAATTGTAACCTACGCTGTTGGAGAGAGAAATAACATCGTGGAAGAGACATAAAGTGAGCAAAAAACGTCCTAAATGCATTTAGAATTTATTTAGAACTACAAATTACATTTGTTTAACAATTATTGTTTTTTAATGTCACAATTCCAACCCTGCTCCTTTATCCGGGCTTCGACCGGCAAAAGTGACCCGAAATAAGCGCTCTGGTGGAATTACTTCATGTGTGTGTGTTTATAAGTAGTTTTAAACCTTGTGATCCACAAAACAACATAACAGTAAAAGAAGAACTGACTGCGTTACAGTCAGTGCGGGAGCAGCGGCTTTGCTCATGCGCGGTTCATTTGCAGTTTGGACGCAAAGGTGTGAACATCTCCTGCAGCTGGGGGAGGGCTATCCTCCGCCCGTGAGCGCTTTAGCACGGGTGAGGTGCCCACGGCAGCACCGCTTCTATGGCAAGCCATTAGTGCCAAAAATCGCCACTTTTCTAACCTGTTTGGTTAAGAAATGGCGTAAAAAAACGCAGTTTAATTATTTAAAACGCCGGAAAAAACGGCATTCTGTTCCGACAAACGCCGTTTTTTCCGACTCTCACATGGCACCCTGGACGCACCATCCGAGTGACGTTCAAAGACAGACGGAAACGCCATTTTTTTCCGCCACTTGGAAGAAAACACCGTTCAAAGATGCAAAAAAAACTGCGTTTTTCACGGCGTTCTGTGCCAGCTGTAACGGCGTTTAAAATGGCGTTTTATTGAAATGATGCAGGGCACTCCCCATGGTTCCCTCATCCAATTACTTTCAACTCATTTCACCCAATCAAAGAAGAGGAAGTGCAGACCACACTAATGCATCACCGATTCACCTTGCTGCTAAGTGATTGCCTATTCGGTACCAGTGCTTGTTACCCACTATGCATTTTGATATGTTTAAAGCATGATCAAACAAGTAAACGACGAAATGCTTTTTCTGAAACAAGACCTTAACTGTGTGGCGCATGGGTCGCTTGTTTACTTGAGGGATCATCTATTAGCGCTGCGCTACCGCAGTGTAGCATTATGATGCTAACGGAGTCCTGGCTAACACCGCAAACTTCGGACATGAGTGGGGAGCTGCCCGGTTTCAAATGCTGCGGGCGGACAGGACGAGAGACAGCAGTGAGAGGAAAGGAGGGGGACTCGCAGTGTTTGTGAACGACAGATAGTGTAACCCTGGGCACACCGCTGTGAAAGAATTACTCTGCAGCAGATACATTGGGCGGCTAGCCGTTAGCGTGTGTCGAGGCATCCTGTGACTTTCTCCACTCTGGTCAGCAGACTGCAAACGCAATCTCCGAGAGCCCTTTTTTAATATCAGGAATGCTTTAATCACACATCAGTGGACTCGACACGGTCCACCTTCACCTAGTATGTGACCTTCACCTAGTATGTGACCTCCCAGCTGGAAGCCGGGCAGCCTACTCACAGAGGTAGTACCGGGCAGTGTCGGGGTACTGCCACTGTGACCGGGTTAGCGTCATTAGCTCCTCAATCATGTCAAATCTCACATTTACAGTGATTACAGGAAGGAGAGATGGTGTGTAAGGTGTCCTTCTCGGGAGACATCACCCCTGTCTCTTCCCTCACTGGGGATGTCGGGTCTGTCTGCCGGTAGCGCAGCTGCAGGGCGCAGCTCTAATAGGTTCAGGTAAATATAATACAATACTATACAACAAGAATAAAATACTCTGTTATAGTAGGAAACACCGCACAGGTGGGTCCGGTGTTATTCACACATAAGTTAATGTAGCCCGCAACACATGTCACAACGTTGTCACAACGCTGTCAACGTCGTCCCCCACAATAGAATCAAAAGAATCTCTAAGAGCCTCCCCGCTTTCCTCCAACCATCTGTGTGGGGCAGGTCAGGCGTTTAAAACGGCGTTTTAAACGCCGTTACAGCTGGCACAGAACGCCGTAAAAAACGCAGCTTTTTTGCATCTTTGAACGGCGTTTTCTGCCGAGTGGCGGAAAAAAACGGCGTTTCCGTCTGTCTTTGAACGCCGCTTTTTACGTCACTCGGATGGTGCGTTCAGGGCGCCATGAGAGAGTCGGGAAAAAACGGCGTTTGTCGGAACAGAACGCTGTTTTTTCTGGCGTTTTAAATAATTAAACAGCATTTTTTACGCCATTTCTTAACCAAACGGGTTAGAAAAGTGGCGATTTTTGTCACTAATGGGTTGCCATACACTGCTTGTTGAGCGTAAGAGCAACACGCTCTTTCACGTCAAAAAGTCGTCATAAATAAATCTCCAATAACACCAGAAAAAGTCGCCAGATTTGTCGCTAGTCGCTAAGGGGGTTTGAAAACTCGCTAAATATAGCGACAAAGTCGCTAAGTTGGCAACACTGCAGTGCAGCTAACAGGCCGTGGCAGCATGACGGACTACGGGTGCCTCCCTTTTGCTAACGGCTGTTTTTTTTAACGTCGATAAAAACGTTATTTTGTAGACAAGGAAGGGGGAGGGTTGATAAGGAGCAATGAAAAGCGAAGAGCGTTGCTATGACACTGAACGATCCGAGTCTTTAACAGTGTGACGTTGGATGTCCACCGTGTTAAAACTACAACAGCAAGCAACCAGAAAATGTTCTTTAAAAAAAGTGTTAGAGCCAATCTATAGAGAAGTATTTTTGATACTGTTTCAGTTATTATGTTACGTTTGATTTTGTATAATATGTTGTTAGAGAATAAATGCTGTGCGTTTAATTTGTGTCGGGCAAGAAAACATTACAGCGCATGTGTGGTAGCAGGTTAGAGTGAGCCAGGACGGCAATGGAAATGTGCGCTGTAGCAGCAGTTTTTTGACCGTGACATCTTTTGTTTGTATGTACGAGTCAGAAATAAATCTGAACAGCTCACATTAAGAAGTGGAAGAATTATTTTTTCGAGGCTTGAGACAGAAATTCGCCACTACAAAAAGGTTTTGAATTTTTAAAGAAAAGGGAAGATTCACTAATAAATGCAGCAGCACACAGCCTTGGGCTACGTCCATATGGAACGCCAGGACTGCCTTAATGAATTAATTAAATACACCATTAAATAATTAATTAAATGTGGCAATAATTAAATAAAATTGGAATTAATTAATTAAATAAATAGTTATGACACATGTAATTAATTAATTATTGACACATTTAATTAATTATTTATGTATTTCACATTTAATTAATTATTTAATGGTATATTTATTTCATTTTGGCAGTCCTGGCGCCTGGCTCTCATCTTGAATTAATTTTATCTGTCAGCCTCACAAAGGACATCGAGGGAACAGTTTACCCTGCCCGGGATAGGGTTACCGGGGCCCCGCCCTGGAGCCAGGCCCGGGGAGGGTGCCCGAGGGCGAGCGTCTGGTGGCCGGGCCTTAGTCCATGGGGCCCGGCCGGGCACAGCCCGAAGAGGAGACATGGGCCCATCCTCCCGCAGGCCCACAACCCGCAGGAGGCGCCATAGGGGTCGGGTGCATTGTGTGCCGGGTGGCGGCCAGGAGCGGAGGCCCTGGCGGACTGACCCCCGGCTGCCAAGACTGGCAATAGGGACATGGAATGTCACCTCTCTGGTGGGGAAGGAGCCTGAGTTAGTGCGTGAGGTTGAGAGGTACCGGCTAGATATAGTCGGGCTCACCTCTACACATGGCTTGGGCTCTGGAACCAGTCTCCTGGAGAGGGGCTGGACTCTGTCTCAGTCTGGAGTTGCCCCTGGTGAGAGGCGGCGGGCTGGGGTGGGTATCCTAATATCCCCTCGGCTTGCTGCCGGTACGTTGGGGTTTTTC